ATCTGACTCTTCCTTGTAAAAAGAAATGAAATTTATTTTTATTAAATGAATCTGCATCTATCTAATAGTCTAGGGTTTTTTTTTTAGCACCTTAAAGTTTAGAAAGCTGGAAATTATGCATATTTATTCTAGAGCACCTGCTCAAATGATTGAGCTTTTAGAAAAACTTAGTTTTCTTTTTCATGACAAGCTTTTCAAGGACTACCATTTGTATATTAGAAGTTTCATGTAATTAGAATATGTCATGTTCTATTATCTTTGAATTTTAGATATGACCCCAAAACAGACACTTGGACCATGGTGGCTCCTTTGAGTATGCCTAGAGATGCTGTTGGGGTCTGCCTCCTTGGTGACAGATTGTATGCTGTTGGTGGCTATGATGGGCAGACGTACCTCAACACTATGGAATCCTATGATCCACAAACTAATGAGTGGACACAGGTAAGATCACCATCAGCATAATTTACTTCAAGTATATAATTTATTTCATTTATTTCCTTTGGAGGAGCTGGATAAAATTAGCAATCTAGCTAGTCAAATTACCCTGAACCAAAAGTGATTTATTTAGTCCAATGTTGTCTTAATTTCATAAAAACTTCATTAAATCATATTTTTGTGGACTTTTATGTATGCATTACTTTAATAAAATTTATATTAAAAAGTGACATTCATGCTCCCATGAGATTTCCACTCCCTTAAAAATCATAACAAGGAACAAGAACTGAATTTGAGATAGCTGAAGCAAAAAATAAAAGTGTAATATATTGGCTTATAAAACCCTAACTTTAGGATAGTTGGTTTTAGAAATAACTGGAATAAGTGTATGGGAAGCTGCAGAAATCAACTTTTCTGCCATTCATTTTTGTTTGATTATGTTTATTAGGTGCATTTTTACCTACTGCAGAGAGAATTGTCCAATTAGTGGTGCTGCTGGAAGCTCCAAGTGGTAAACCTCACAGCCATAAACAGAAAATAAAATAACTTTTTGCTCCAGTTCAGTTAGGGGAAAAAAAAATCAAAACAGTAAAAGACTCTAAATGGCCTTCCATGTGTCAAGTGCCTACTCCTTGACAATCACTTTGTCCAGGAAGATGGAGTGAAATGATTGGCTTATCCCTCTATTACACACTGCGGTTAGAAACTTAAGATCAGGCTAATATGAAGCAGCTCTCATCTGATCACACAGCTAGAGGAGGTGTGTTGGTGTATGTGAGTGTGGGGGAAAGTTGAGGTGAGGGCAACATAATTATAGTGGAAAACACCTTAAGCTGTATAGTTACTATGGCCTTACTTAAAATGGAGGGAATAGGTAAATTCTCAGAGTTGTGACCTTACAATCAGTATCTCTTTACTTTCTTTCTTTCTTTTCCAAATCTCTCTTATTATTTCTCTCTTTTATTAGAAATCTAAAAGTAAGATACTATTCAAGTAAATAAATAAATAGTTTCCATCAATGAGTTCAGTGATGTTCCAAAGCCTTCTTTAGCTGAAGCAGGAAAATAGCCACATCTCCTTATATGCCTCAGCAGAAAAAAAAAAAAAACCCACATCTCCTGAAGAACTTGAACACAAAGTGAAGTAAATTTACTTTAAAGATACTTACTTTTACGTATACCTAACCCTCGTTTGTGCATTTTGATGGTAGGGGTTCAGCAACAGTATTTTTATGGGCTGACTTTGAATTACAAAACCAAATTCCTTATGGCCACTCTAAGGTAGCTGCATTGTTAATCTCCCTCTCCCCTAAAGGAAGACTCTCAAATTCAATAAAAATAGATAATATTTGGTTTACGTATACCTAACCCTCGTTTGTGCATTTTGATGGTAGGGGTTCAGCAACAGTATTTTTATGGGCTGACTTTGAATTACAAAACCAAATTCCTTATGGCCACTCTAAGGTAGCTGCATTGTTAATCTCCCTCTCCCCTAAAGGAAGACTCTCAAATTCAATAAAAATAGATAATATTTGGCTAAAAAAGAAAAAGAAGGAGCAGTAGAGGGAAGAGGGGAAATATTGTAAGCCTCGTAATTTTCTACCTTTTTCTTTAATTGTGAGAGAAGCATTTCTTATCCAAAGCACAGCAATTATAAAAGAAGCCAGTAGTGATTGCTTTTTGCATTATTGTCCTAAAATTTTAGAGAATATATTTTGACTTCTTGCCTTTCTGAATTCCTAGTGTTTCCAAAGAGAACACTGCACAAATTAATGACTGTTGGTTTGCTAAAGAAATGTACAAGTTCAACGTCGTGTATTTTAAATGTGCCACTTGTACAAATGAACATTAAATAAAGGAAGGCAGTTTATGGGTATATAAATGATGTAATATAATGTCTTCATTACATATTTATTATTAAAAAGCCATTATGCTTATAATTCCTCTAAAATTGAAATAGCAATAATGTAGGCAGTAATAATAGCTAAAAGCCTCCTAAAGACCATTTTCCCTCATCTGTATTTTATTATACTCTTTTGGATCATATTGTATCTTACAAACAACAAAGCAGTATCTAAAATGTTTATAGCAACTTGATTTTAGTACAACAAACATTAATTTTAAAACTCTTAAATTACGTTATTTTACTTTCACATCTTTTTATTATGTATTTTTTTAAGACTCTCAAGGGACTATGAACAGACCCACACAAAATCCATTTGAAAACTTTCAGGATTTCAGCCTACTAAAAATGTTTTCCATATTTGCTGGATTATTCCTATCACTTTCACTCCACTTACTCCATAAGTGAATAAATCAACTGGTTATTCCATATATTTCTGGCACCCAAAAGTGGCTGATTGTTAAAATAAATAAGCAAACTATATTAAAATATTTAAGAATAAGCAGAGTTGAAAAACTCCAAGTTAGCTTGACTTGGAAAAGGTGGAAATAGAATAGGGAGCAATTGCCAGATTTGTACCTGAGTTTGTTTTAAAAGGACACTTGGCACGTGCATGTACGTGTGTATGTGCCCATGTATGTGTGTGCATGTGTGTTTTAAATAAATTTTAACATTGAGCTTATTCCTTGTATTTGATGTGAAAAAATAACATGTGTGCTTCAAAACTTAGAAGAAATTTATCAATTTCCCCTAGTCTGGGTAAAATTACCCTTCCACGTGTAGTGTCACAGTGCTATCATGCTGAATCCATCTTCAGGCTGTAAAGAGTTACAGACAATGCGTCACTTTATTGTCCTGTCTCCAAAGACTAGCATAGTTGCTGGCATGTTGTAGAGATAAGTGAATGTGTTTCAGATAAATTGAGATCTGTTGTTCCAACTAAGTTTACTCTGTTGTGAATGAGTTTAGTTTATATGCACACGATAGATATACAATATAGAAAATTGAGAATGAGTTCCAGCGGAGCCTGGTGAAATGTCTACATCCTCAGGTGCTTTTGTCTAATTGGCTCTGCCGCCAACCTTTTTAGGTTATCATACTACTCAAGCTGAAAGGTATAATCCCTGGAGAAAGAGCAAGGGCAGATTTTAAAAATGTATTAAATAAAGCTGGACCAAGGGATATAAAAGAAAATATCTCTTAAATGTTTAAAATGTATTTATGTAGAAAATGCTAAATGCTTGAAATAGCATGATGAATTCTTTGGTAAAGGAAATACTTAGCACTATGATAAAACCTAAGCATAGTGAGGAGAGAAATCTTCCTTCAGAAAATGATATGTAGAATAGGCCTGGCAAATGAGTAATAATAAACCAGATGAAAATATGGGAGTTCTGTGGCTTAAGGAACCACATTTGTAAGAGCTAAAATACATGGTATTTTTTATTAAGCAAGAAATAAAGTTGTGAGCAATGGGTTTGAAGAGATAAACAGGATCTATATTACACAGGCCCAGAAACCATGTTAAGGATTCTTGAGCTGAAGTCTGAAGAAGAGTCAAAAAAAGATTTTAAGCAGGTAAAGGAAAAAATCAGAATTGTATTTTTAAATGATTGCACTTGATAGGATGTGATAAATGATTAGGAAAGCAAGATTACAGTGAGATAAACTATTAGGAGGATATTTTACTAATTCACTCAAAGTAAGTTGTAACCTGAACTAAGTGGAAGACAGAAGGAATAGACAGAATTAAACTTGTTGGAGAGATATTTAGAGAGCTTGATGATTACTCAGATGTAGGACTGAGTGAGACAAAATGAAGGGTCATTGGCATGCTCTAGGGTTCTGTCTTGAACAACTGGGTAGAGAGTGGTATCCTTCACTGACATGGAAAACAGAGGGAATAGTACACATTTTGAAAAATAGAAGGGATTCATTTTAACATGCACACATATACAAACTTGTATAGAGATGTAGATGTAGATGTGGATATAATATAGATATGAAGTGAAGCAACTCATTCTATATGTAATCTGTGCACAGTGCTTCTACTGAGATGAATGAACATCGGAGGGCCTTTGGAAAACTTTTCCCATTCCCACTCAATGGTAGGGCTCGTGCACATATGCTTTGCAAAACGTCTTAGTTGGGGGCAGCCCGGTGGCGCACTGCTATAGTGCGCCGCTTGGGAAGCGCGGTGACCCTCCCGCCGAGGGTTTGGATCCCACATACAGACCGGCCGCTCACTGGCTGAGCGAGGGGCAGGAGCAACACCGAGGGTTGCGATCCCGTGGCCGTCCCGGTCCGGTACGGGCGCGACACTGAGGGTTGCGATCCGTTGCCGGGCACAAAAAAAAGACAAAAAGGAAAAAAAAAAAAAAAAAACTTCTTAGTTGACCCTGATGAGAAACAACATTTGAAAATCATTAGATAATAAAAGAGAGACAATGGAAAGTGCATGCTTTCTAAAGTCAGATAAACTTCAGTTTGTATACATTAATGTTGTGGGATTTACATACAAAAATTGTCTCTTGATATTCCATTCAGTCACCTCTAATGTGGACATAAGAATACATGATGTAATTATGAAGATGACTATGATGACCTATAAAATTACTCTTATCACGAAAGAAGCTATTGATATATTCACATGTCCCTTTCCCTCTCTTGTTTTAGGCAACAATTCCATGATGAAGACAAAAGATGTTACATTAAATTAACATTTACAAATAATGTACTAAATAAAATAGATAAAAAATAAATGTTATATGGGATTTTTTTAACCTTCAGTAGGATGATGGATAATAGTAAATACATTTTAAGAACTGGTAGATAAAGGAGGTAATTTTCATACTTAGAACATGTCTTTTCTTAATCATTAAGATAATGTATATGATCTGAGGTTATTTTGTATTTAGCTATTTTTTTGTCTTACATTTTATTCACTCTCTTTTCAGTCTGAGATAATATTCTGTAATTTCTACCCTGATATTCATAGCAAACTGTAATAAAAATCATTGATATCAAGAAGTTCAAATTATTACAATGTTGGCTTACCTCCAAAGAATAAATTTTCATTACAAAGTCTATAAAAATTATTGTTTTTAATATATTTGTAGCCATTTTTATAGTCAGTATTATTTAAATAAATCTCAGTTCTCATTTTGGTGATTGTCATAATGTGGAAACTTTTTTAATAAGTCCTAAAGCAATTGTTAATTATGGCCTATTTATGACAAAATATTGAAGTTACTTCATTGTATGTCTGTCTAGAGTGGGTGAATAACACGTCTAATTCAATAGAATATCTGGGGAAATAACTCCAAAATAATTGCAGTAAGTGTAATAGCTCTTTCATCTAAAATGTACTCCAAGCTGTCTGGGTAAAATATCACAAATGTGTCCATGCAAGCTCCAGAATAAATCTTTGCTGGAAACTTTTCTATAGCAGGTTTATTTCACTAAGAATCATTAAATATTCTGTTACTTTAATTAAAAATTTCATAAGTTGTTGCAGGTTTTAAAATTTTCGATATACCAATCATTGCTTTCTCTAAATACCATTTTCAGTGTTTCCATTTTTATTGTACTACTTGTGGCTAAAATAGGAAAATGTAAGCACATTTATTTATGATTTTCATGTCTATGAGCCTTTTAAATATATTATAATTTTCATCTTTTTCTATGATGGTAAAATTTTTCTTAAGCTGTGTTCATCTTTTTCAACAGATGGCATCCTTGAATATTGGGAGAGCAGGTGCCTGTGTGGTAGTCATCAAGCAACCTTGACTTATTTTTATTTTGTCTGGAGGGAATTTATTTGCTGGAGTGGTTATTTTCATATCATATGGCCAGAATGAGAACTTCCTGAGATGAAACTCTTCAAGAACAAGGATTTCTATAAATTTACCTACTGGTGTCAAAAGAAGTAGAAGATTTACTAGAATTATAGAAAACAAGAAAACATCAACCTTATGCAAGAACAGTATCTGGCCATATGTTAGTTAGTTCAGGAATGGTTATTGGTAATTTGTTTTGTATTGTAGTGTACAATAACTAGAGTTACCAAAGGCTTGTTTTTCTTGAGCAGTTGAAAGGAGAGATCAATATTTGTGACATGGATAATTTCATGATTGGAACTCATTTGATTAATTTATAGTCTGTGGCAATAGCTAAGATTGCCAAAAGTAGAAGGCGTAATATTATCATTTGACAGAATCTGAATGGCTTACTGTTTTCTTAATCAGATGTGATCATGCCAGGAAGCAGAATGTTTTATTAAAACAAACTTGAGTCTTCCTTATTTTCCTAAGCTGTAAGAACAATTAGAGGAGCAGATTCACACTTGTCTCTTGCATTCAGAAAACAAACTGTCCTGCTGATCAATGCTGCATATCTCATCAGAGACAATGGTTGAATTTTATTGCAACCATATTAGCAATCGGAAACTGGCAAACACAAAGAATTGTTTTCATTGAGCTTGCCATGTTGCTTTGCTTTTTGAACACACTGAGCCAAAGAATCAGTACAATTATGGGCTTTTGCCTTATATTGAGTTCAGTGTAAGCATGGAAGCTAGTTATTCTGAATGTTATGTATATCCACTGCATGTTGAAGTCCTTTACAATTTTCTTCTTAAGAAAACTTAGAATTTTAAAAGGAAAATGTATGATCCATTAAGTTGGATTGTTAATGATTAATGCTAGAAGGAAGGCAGAATTTCAACTTCCCATTCCCTATGTTTTAAACTTGTTACATTGATATGTACATTATTTTAAGCAAATTGTTTAAAGCATAAAGTGGAAACATTATACAATGTCCTTAGATCCATGTAAATTTTAGATCCATGTAAATTTTAAATACAATTAATAAATGATAAAAAAATTTGCTTTTATCAGTGTACTTTTCTTTAATAAATTTTAATTCAGATCTAAGTTAAAAATTGACAAGGTATTCTGCAAAAAGAGGCAATTTTTATGGCCTGACTTTTCAAAATTAAAGAAGTATATGTCTCCATCAAAACATAAGTTTATTTTCTTCCAAATCTGATGCTGTGCAGATACCAAATGCAATTTTAATTATTTTTTTCTTCTGTAGTCACTTACTGGAGAGAGCATTAGTTCTTAGAAAACATATATCACATAACAAGAGTGCTGAGAATTGTGCAGAAGCTAGAAAAGGTAAGAAAATTCCTCCTTCTGAGACAATAAAAACCATGGAATTAATGTTTAATGTTGGGTGGTAAGAAAATGTTTGAAATATAGCCACCAAGAAAAATATTAATAAAGAATTTATCTCAAGGAAATATTGAGAAATCTGATGTTTCTCAATATGAACTTGTGATCATACTTATTAGTCACAGTTTATTTGAGAGAAATGATGCCATTGTGGCTATAAGATGCTAAAGAAGTATCAATGATTATTTTTAAATTGTAGTTAAAAATGTGTAACAGAAAACTTACCATCTTAACTATTTCCAGGTGTATGGTCTAGGAGTGTTAATTGTATTCACATTGTTTTGCAATCAATTTTCAGAACTCTTTTCAACTTGCAGAATGGAAAATCTATACTTCCTAAACAATAACTCCCCAATTTCCATTCCTCTCTGTCCCCGGCAACCAACATTCTTCTTTCTGTTTCTATGAATTTGACTACTGTCAATACCCAATATAACTAGAATTATATAGCATTTGTCTTTTTGTGCCTGGCATATTACACTTAGCATCATGCCCCAAAGTTCATCTTTATTGTAGCATGTGACAGAAAGTCTTTCTTTCTTAAAGCTGAATAATATTCCATTGTATGTATATACCATATTTTGTTAATGAATTTATCTGTTCATAGACACTGCATTGCTTCCACCTCTTGGCTTTTATAAATAGTGATGTCATATGAATATTGGTGTTCAAATATCTCTTCAAGATCCTGCTTTCAATTCTTTTGGATATTTATGTGTATATACCCAGAAATAAAATTGCTGGATCATATCATAATTCTAATTTTGTTTTTTGAGGAACCTCCACACTATTCTCCACAGTGGCTGCACAATTATATATTCCCACAAACTGACAGTCAAGAATACTTGCATATGCCCAAAAGTTATCTTTCAGAAATGAAGGAGAAATAGTGTATTTTCTAAACACAAAAATTGCAGGAGTTCACTGCAACACAATTAGTCTTACAAGAAATCCTCAATGAGGTTCTGCATCTGGAATCCAAAAATCAATAATCACTACCATGAATACACAAAAAGCACAAACCCCATTGGTAGAATAAAAATGCAAATGAGGAAGAGAAAGAAGCTATATCTTACCACTTCAAAAAAACAACAAACACTGAAGACAAACAATAAAAGGGAAAGAAAGGAACAAAGGATATTTAAATCAACATATGAAAAGTAATTAAATATCAGGAGTAAGACAATATCTTTCAATAACAACCCTAAATGTAAATGGATTAAATTCCCCAACAAAAGAAACAAACTTACTAATTGGATTAAAAAGCTAGACTCAGCTATGTGCTGTCTACAAGAGACTCACCTCACCTGAAAAGACACCCACAGACTAATAGTAAAGGAATGGAAAAAGTTATTCCATGCAAATGGAACCCCCCCCCCAAAAAAAAAAACAGAAAAGAAAAGAAAATAGTAAAAAAAGAGTCTTGAAAAGTTCCAGAGATTTTCATCATTGCTAACATGCTAGCATCTAAATTCATCAGAACAGCAGTCAAAGATTCATCTACAAAACAAGAAAGACTACCTATTCTTATATCAGATAAAATAAACATTAAACCAAAACCCATAAAAAGTGACAAAGAAGACCTTTATATAATGATAAGGAAATCTATTCAACAAGAAGACATAACATTCATAAATACATATGCACCCAACACCAGAGCACCCAGATATATAAAGAAATACTATTAGACCTAAAGAAAGAGATAGATCCCAATACTATAATAGTTGGAGACCCAAACACCCCTCTCTCAGCATTAGACAGGTAATCTAGGCAACAAATCAACAGAGAAACATAGGATTTAAACTATACTGTGGACTAATTGGACTTGGCGGATATCTATAGAGCATTTCATCAAACAACTACAGGATATGCATTCTTCTCATCAGCACATGGAACATTCTCCAGGATAGTCCACATGTTAGGCCACAAATCAAGACAGGACAAATTTTAAAAAATTGAAATCATTTCAATTATCTTTTCAGACCACAACAGATTAAAACTAGATGTCAATAAGAGGTGAAAATCTGAAAATTATAACACACATGGAAATTAAACAACATGCTCCTGAACAACCTATGGGTCCAAGAGGAAATTAAACAAAATATCAAAAACTGTCTTCAAACTAATGAAAATAAAGACACATAATACCAAAACCTGGGGGATACTGCAGAAGCAGAGCTAAGAGGGAAGCTTATTGCAGTAAATGCTTACATAAAAAGAATGGAAAGATCTCAAATAAACCACATAATGCTAAACTAGAAAATACTTTTCAAAGAACTAGAAAAATAGGAACAATCTAATCACCAACTTAGTAGATAGAAAGAAATAATTAACATCAGAGCAGAACTGAATGAAAGAGAGGCCCCCAAAAGATACCAAAGATCAATGAAATGAAAAGTTAATTTATTGAGAAGATAAACAAAAGAGACAAACCATTAGCTAGGCTAACTAAAATAAGAAGAGAGAAGACCCAAATCACAAAAACCAGAAATGAAAGGAGACATTACAACCAATACCACAGATATATAAATAATCATTAGAGACTATGATAAACAACTAAAACAACTACATACCAACAAATTTGAAAAACTGGAGGAAATGGGTAAATTTCTGGATATGTACAAATCACCAAGACTGAACCAAGAAGAACTAGAAAACCTGAACAGACCAACAGCAAGAAATGAGATTGAAGCAGTAATCAGTCGTCTCCCATCAAAGAAAATCCCTGGACTGGATTGCTTTAGTGAATTCAACCAAACCTTTAAAGAGAAATTAATACCAATTTTCTTCAAACTATTCCAAAAAATTAAAACTGAAGGCATTCTCCCAAACTCATTCTATGAGGCCAGAATCACTCTGATACCAAAAGCAGACAAAGATACAACAATAAAAGTAAATTACAGGCAAATATCTTTGATGAACATAGACACAAAAATCCTCAACAAAATACTAGCAATCATAATACAATAACACATCAAAAAATTATACACCATTATCAAGTGGGATTCATCCAAGGGATGAAAGGATGTTTCAATATATGCCAGTCAGTAAATTTGATATACCACATCAACAAAATCAAGAAGAAAAACCATATGATTATCTCAGTAGATGCTGAAAAAGCATTTGACAAAATTCAACATCCCTTCATGATAAAGACTCTCAGCAAATTAGGTATAGAAGGAAAGTATTTCAACACAATAAAAGCCATATGTGACAAACCTACTGCCAATGTCATTCTGAATGGGGTACACTTTTTTTTTCTTAAGAAGAGGAACAAGACAAGGATGCCCACTCTCACTACTCCTATTTGACATAGTACTGGAAATATTAGCCAGAGCAATCAGGCAAGAGAAAGAAAAAAAGGGCATCCAGATTGGAAAGGACAAAGTCAAACTCCCTGTTTGCAGGTGATATGATCTCTTAGATCTCATAAACAATTTCAGTAATGTTGCAGGATACAAAACATCATGCAAAAATTAGTATTTTTTTTTTTACTCAAATAAGGAACTAGCAGAAAAAGAAATCAAGAAAGCATGCCCATTTACAATAGTCACCAAACAAACAAACAAACAACCCTGTAATCAATTTAACAAAGGAGGTAAAAGGTCTCTACAATGAGAACTTCAAATCACTGCTGAAAGCAATTAAAGAGGGTACAAAAAGATGGAAAGACATTCCATGCTTTTGAATTGGAAGAATTAACATTGTGAGAAAGTCCATATTACCCAAAGCAATCTACAGATTCAATGCAATCCACATCAAAATACCAATGACATTCTTTACAGAAATAAAAAAAAAAAAAATCCTAATATTCATATGGAATAACAAAGACCCAGAATAGCCAAAGCACAAAATTTGTTACATTCAACCATGTTCTGTATATAGATCATAGTGGTCTACTACTGCTTATATTGCGTGAAATAACTGTGTGTACCAAATTTGCTATATGAGGGTGATGAAGAACATTTTGGACAGTGAACTTAGAGCCTACATGAGGCATTTTTCTAGGGCAAAATAAACTAAATTAAAATTTAGCTTTCACCTATCAACATTCTTAATAAAGTAATTGTAATTTTTTTGTCAAACTAATATGATGTATTAGCTTTGAAATTCACTATTTTTTTCTTTCTGTTAAATTTAGAAGAATTTCATCAAAATTCAGATAATGATACACTTAATAATGACACTTTTCCTACTCTGTCATTTATTGTTTAAATTTTATTGAGGAATGTGCATTCTGTGTAATCAAATACTGTAGTTAACTGAGAATTATGGCATATGCCAAATAAATTAACATCTTGTAAAGAACTAAAGCAAAACAAAATGCATTTTTAATATTAATGTCATATTAAGAGTACTTTACCTAATTTTTGGGTATTCAAAATGCTAGTATCTACAATACTTTGTACACAGTTCAAATATTTTTCATTGATTCATGATACTAAAAACATCAATTTCTATTTTACAGCACGATGGATGTAGAATGTGAAAGCTATTCTCTGTTAACTCCAAGACAAAAAGTTATATGTGTAAACTTGTTTTTCCCCCTCAGTGAATCTCCACCTGGTGTGTGCATCTGTGTTTTTCATGAGAAGATATAGAAAAAAAATCTAGCTCTACACAGTTCTGACAATGGTATTCTAAATAAAAAGGTATT